ATGATAGAGTCAGATAAGTGTGTGTTTATTTTGATTTCCATATACTAAATATAAAATATAGATCTATAAACATTTATAAAAATGATATCATATATATATCTATTATTTTTGAAAAAAAAAATTGTTAAAATCCAGACCAGTTATACCTAAAGAAGAAAAAGTTAGAATATCACAGTATTATAAATAGTTGAGTATTGTTATTTTTTCATATATGCTAAACTGTAAGATAAAGTGTTTATAAATAAAAAATTATTACAACTATGTTACAAGCAAAAAAAAGCTATTTACCTTTCTTGTTACTTTTTAAAGTGAAAAGATAGCTATTTAAGAAACTTTTTGAGATTTTACAAAATGAAATTTTGTTATCTCATTAATTATAATACTATGAACGACTAAGAATATAAATAGATAAAGGAAATAATATACATTTAATTAATATATTATTTTCTTCTCATTTATAGTGTAGTTCAATTTGAATACCATAGGTAGGGTATTTATAAAAAATTTTCTGATCTATTTTTATACAAATTAACTATTTTAAGAATAAGATGTATTGTCACAAATTTTATATCCACATATTAGCAATCACCTAATTTGAAAATAATACTCTAACATCACAATCTAATAAAGCGATCTTTAGCTATATAAATCAGTAAACAGCTTTTTTATTTAATAATTCAAGTTGCATAATAAAAATAATAAAATATATTTCAGAACTAAATGCATGACGCATTCTAATAATAAAAAACTGCAGTTATTTATAATTATATATCCATATTTACTATAAATGTAGTGATATTTATTATATATAACACATGAACTAAGAATATAATAATTGAGATTTCTTCTAGGCAAATATATTAGCCTCTTTATAACTTATCTTTCCAGTATTTAAATTCAAGTAATATTCCTTATTATCATTCTCATATAGTGTGTTTCAATCAGCTTCTCATTATCATAGTAGCATATTTCAGTTTTTTATTATAAATATTAGGCGTAACTGGAATCCTTTTTTTTAGCTGAATCCAAAAGATTCGTTTGTGCTTCTAATGCATTAATTAGCTTTTGAGCTGTAAAAATCAGTAATAGAATTTTAAAAGCCAATACTTCAAGGGAAAAGAAAATATTTTTGGCAAAACTATCTACTATTTCTTTAATTTATCTCCTAGATAGAATTTTGCACTATAATTTATGACTTATTTAATTTTATTTATATCAAATTTCAAATAATTTGTATATTTTATAGCTTTTTAAGTTTTCTTTGCAATTTAGTCTCGAAATTACTTGATCTCAGTGAAGTTCCCTTATTGGGAATAATCTTTTTCATAGTGTGTAAATGGTAATGATATAGATGGATAAAAATTTCGTAAATATGGGTAGGATAATTTACTTCAAAAATCTAGTGTAGTAACAAAGTATAAGGATATACATCTTTTAGTTAATGATAGAAATGATAGAAACAAATTAGCTGTAGATATTTATCTGAAATCTCAGAGAGCAAAGAAATAATTTGATACTGAGACTCGCATTAAATAGCTTAGAATCTGCGTACTCCTTTCTCTTTGATAGCATCATATATTTCATTTGCTTCTCTAGCATTTCTGATTCGCTATCTATCTGAAAAATAATTTTCAAAAGACCGTTACAATTGATAATGATCAAAAGTTGTAAATGTCGATTAAATCTTATGATTTATTTTTTTTATAGTCTATATCTATGATGTCACTGATATATTGTGTAATAGTAATGACACACACCTCAAAATTTTGCTCGAAGAGGAGATAGACAGACCTGCTTTTCTTTTGTTAAACGAGAAAAAGCTTAAAGAAAGTAGTTTTAAAGTAGGAACAGTTATAAAACTCACGGATTTGATTGTGAAACTTAATGGTGAAGAGCGGGGTAACTATATGACTATGTTCTAATCTCTTAAACCTTTACTGTTATTATCTTAACTTGTCTTACCTTCTATATCATTAGTGTCATTACCTTAAGATGAATCACCAATCACTGGAGTAGTCGTTGAACCGCTTCATAAATCAATTTCAACTGAAAGAATTCCAGATACACTACTTCCACTTCTAGAAAATTAACAAATACCTTACGTGAAGAGCCAAACAATCGCTCAATCATTGCATTCAGATTTAAAATTAAAGGATCATTAATAGAAAAGGTTGAGTATCCTAGCGACATTAATGAAAATAACACTCATTTATCTGAAACTGTGTCAGGGCTTCTTTGTTATTACAGTAAGAATTTGCAAATATGTTATTTATTAATAAGATTACGAAGTGTATATATTCATTCTTCACATTCTGGTAGAATTTTGAAACTGCCACTACACTAAATGGCCAAGCCTTAACGAATTTTCTAAACATTTAAGTGATGTTAAAAAAGACCGTATATATTTTTCATTTAAAAAAAAGATCGCAGTTTTATGAAAGTTATTTATAGAAGATCATCCCGCTCAGCTACGACTTACACAACTGGAGGAATAACTAAAGGTGATGTATTAATGTATCAGTAATATATCAAATAAGAAGAAACAGTCTGAGGACTGAATTTTATGCAGGCCTTGTGCTTGTTAGTGAGCGGGCTGTGTATTTAAGCAGGAAGTTTTCATTTATATAAGCTAAGAACATAAAGTTTAGATTATTTCCAGAGGGATATCGTGTCTAGCTATAATTTAGTACAGAAAAGGCCAGTATGCTTGTGAGCGAAACGTGTTTTCGTGGGATAAGACGTGAACTCATCTAACTAAATTATAACATTCCAGACTCTTTATAAGTCACTTTGACGTTTATCTAGCTGTTTTATATTGGTTAATCATTCTGTAATTTTAATCTATCTTAGATGTGTCAGACAGCAAGGATTATAAAGAAGGCAACAAGAAAACAAATAGCCAATGCAACCAAATTGCTTACCAAAGAAGCGACTATAAAGAAGGAACTAGAAATTGTCGAGGTTAGAATATTTTTTTATTGAATTATTTTTGGTGGTTATACAATATAAGCTTATCTCTTACAAAATATTTCAGGGTTCTGTAATTGTCAATAGATATTACAGGATCAATAAACATTATAATGAATTTTATGAAACAAGTACGCAATTAATTAAACGTAAGTTATTGACCAACTCTGATGGAAAAGTAGATGGGTTAAAAAAAGCTAGAAAGTAAAAAAAAGTGTTAGTATCAATGAACTATCTTAAAAATATCATTTTTCGTAATATGAGCATTTTTTAAATTCAATCTTATATAGGAATTTATGTCATTACAAATTTGTTCATTTGCTATTAATAAACTCATAGTTGTGATAATTATAAGAGCTTTTCCTCAGCGATCACAAATTGGGTATCATTATATATTCGCTTTTTAATATTTGGTATGTATTAGTTCTAAGTATTGGTACAGTGATCACATGAGATGTTATTTCACACTTGTCACGATGATGCAATATTTTGGGCTAGTGATTTATAATAGCATGTTGGTGGTGTGATATTATTAATAATAAAAAATTCATGTGACATGCTGACTACTGGTCAGGAACTTTTGTCAAGAAAAAAAAAACCTTGAAGCATAGAAGGTAATCTAACAGAAAATTAGCAAAATATTTTTTGAATTTAAGGCAAAGGAATAATAAAAAGCTGTTTTTCTTGTGAACTTGAGGATCGTTACTGCATCCTGGTGACATGGACTCATAACTAAAAAAAATAAATACTGCGTCAAGTAAGGCTGAGTTATAACAATTATGATATTTCTTTTTTAGCTATATAGAATCTTATTGGTTGATTCTCATGATTTGAATTGCAGAAAGATTGTAAGAAAGTGCTGGAAACTGACTGGAAGCCAGGGTGATACAAATTTTTATATTATACTGCAACGCCTCTGGTTAATCCCTATTAATCATAAGAGATCTACAAATCAAAAGTGACGGGAGAGCACTGGAGACTAATGAGGTATTGGAAAGGAGCCTGATATACTGTAATACAATGATGATTATATTGTGTATATTGTTTCAGATCTAATTTAACTGAATCAAAAAAATCAGTTATAAATCTGTTTCCACCCCAAAGTTAATCGAATAAAAAAATGAATCTGATTTTATCACTCATTTGATGCTAAGCATTTGTAGGAGAAAATAAACTCATAAATAAATGCTATTCAGATAGATAAGAAAAATATTTTGGATGACAAATACCTCTCCTGCAGTTTGATAGAACAAGGGAGTAGAAATATTTGCTAAAAACGCTATATATCACTAAAATTACTATAAATCTCTTAATTGCTAAAATCGTTACAAACCGATTATTTGATATATAATTCTAAATTATAGATTTAGATAGTAGAGTCTACTCTAAGCTAATTAGTACATACAATACTTATAGGGGCTCTGAAGAATATATAAGAATAGTTGATGTGATAGACCCTTTAACAATAAAATATAATCACAAAACACCAGAAATGTGGTACTCCTATATTTGTGATCCATTTAGGAAAATACTAGAAGAAAACTATTCTAAGGGAATTCTTTCTAAGAATGGATATATTACAATATATAGAACATTATATGAAAATAATAGATATCATGGTCTTCTAACAAATTATATATATTATAGTACTGGTCGAAATTAAAAAAATTGGACATGCAAAAATCGGCCTAAAATCAGCCTAAATTGGCCTAAAATCAGTCTAAAATTGGCAAATTATCAAAAATCAGCCTAGCCGATTAGTATAC